GGGCCGTATGCAACCATATTTCAGGCGGAAATTTAGGCCTCTGATGTGTGTGTGGAGAGATTGGAGGGAACCAACCTAACACATAACAAATAAAACTATTCTTCGATAGCCAAGCGGCTCTGAAAGCACTTAGCTCAAACCAAGCGAACGTCTTGACTGGTATTGAACTGTCAAAAAGAGTCTACGCGATTGGAAGACACAATAAATTGTTTCTGGTCTGGATGCCTGACCACTCGGGTATGGAAGGTAACGAAACGGCATATTCCCTTGCAAGGGGGAGGGTGCCGCAATTAGTTTCAATTGACCAGAACCTGCCTTTGGCATCTCACCAAGTTTTACCAAACATATAATTAACACCTGGATCGCAAGAAGAATTCTAGACTTCTGGTAGAATCTACCAGGATTGGCTAATTCCAAGGCAATTTATACATCCTTCGAAGAATGTTACCACGTGCCATCTCTGCCTTGAAGATGATGAAACAGCAGAGTATGTACTCTGTGCCTGCCCCGCCGCGACTCGAATCAGGTTTTCGCTGTTAGGCAGGGTTTCACTCTCGCCCTCGGACCTGAAAGATCACTCACCAAGTAAACTAATCAGCTCTATTAAGAAGCTGGATCTACTTGGTGAAATATGAATTGGTGTGAGCCATAATAGCCCATTCAGAGAAGATTACAGTGAATCATAGTAGGAATAGGCACTATAGCAAAAATTGATTGAATGCATATTCTCCACTATCCAGAATTTATCTAAATTGTTCATATAGCTATTTATATGACAAACTGTAAAATGAGCGTCTCAATCACGTGACGCAAATACGTAGTGTGCATAAAAACCGTCATTTAATGAAAAGTTATACACAAAGCTTTTCTGTTCTTTCATATTGCCCGTTTCAAAAGATAAAATTGAATACTAATATTTTGAGAATCGAAGGATTTCTACACAAATTGAGACACACTCACAGAGCTTTGAGTGCCAACATATTCAATTGTCCACCAGATCGCACTACTGAGATGTGAGAAGTCTACTAATTAACGAAAACAGCATTTTCAAGTAGGAACAAAAAATGAAAAAAAAGCATATGCCACTTCAAGAGAAATGAATGAACTTTAGACGAAAAAGGGTCTTACCCACATTTCATTCTGATCTCTATATTTTCTATTAGGCTTTTTGAATACACCTTCTATAATAACGTTGGAAACTAATAATCCAGTTTGTTTTCCCTTTTTCCTTCTATTTCCAAGATATTCTAAGGAATGAGGTTGAGGTATCATTTGAATTTTTTGGGCTATTAACTAAATATATTTATCACTCATAATAATTGATAAATAGTACAGTATCAATATCCTGGTAACTCTGAAGGAATGGCATTGCGAAAAATATTCGATTTGTTGTAATAATAATATAATATACCCAGTACACATATGAGATCAATCTGATTCTTATGTTCGAATTGAAAGAAGATCCCACTATCGAAAACATTCTGTATAGCATCAACATTGTTCTACATGACACCTTGATTTAAATATATAGTTCTAGTTAGAATCACAGATGACACTACCACTGTGCTTAACACAATTTATTACTTGTGATTCATTAAAATTACAGGGTTATATATTTGCCACATCAAACAAAACAAAAAAGACTTACCACTCCCTGATGGCAGCAAACAACAAAATTTCATTAGAAATTCATTGATATAGTGAATTCTTCATAACAGATATTTATTCATTGATTTTTGCTATATCCAGTCATTATCAAATTCATTGTAAATGCCTTATTTCCACAAAATAGACACAAGATTTTATTTGAATTTTCTGTTCAGTGCAGAGCAGTTTAGAATCGAAAACATTGATAAGAAGTATCTATGTGATAATAATTGAATTGCATAGGAAATATTACAAAGAGGATTGATTGATTATGTTTATAGTGTATGATGAATTGATATCCATCGAACAGGTCGTGGAAAGAAATTCTTAGTTAAGAAAATCCAATCACGATTATGTGATTAGTGGTCTGTAAAAACAAATTTCCATCATTCAAGTATAAACCCCTTGATTGGGTATGAAAGTATTGAAAAGGAATATTCTCAGATATATCATGAACATGAAAAAAATGGATAGGTGCATATCAAGAAATGAATTGAGAATTCACATTCTCTATCTGATGAAAATATGAATTCTTTCTCGGTATATTCAACAGAAAACAACTTCTTTCCTGGCTATATTCCACGGCGAATATATATATCTATTGAACACACAATGGGAATTTGTAAAATCATCTACTGAATATATTGGTAAGTTATTTTTTCATAGCATTCAATTTCAGAAGAATTTTTATTTTCATATTCTCTCCTATTGGGTGTTCAACAAATGTGATTCAATGTTCGCAGAGGTAAATAGCCAGGAAAGTAGTTGTTTTCTGTTAAATATTCCTAATTATATATTTTTATCTGAAAGAGAATGCACATTCTCAACTTACGAATTTTTTTTTCTATCAGAGAATATTCCTTTTCAATAGGATTAATTATATTTAAACATGGTGGTAGTGGCATTTGTGGCAAAGACTAACTGTGAACCAAAAAAATCAACAGGAATCGAAAAAATCGCTCATTATTATTAATATTAAGACGCATATTATTCATATCATAACCACTTCTGACCAAGATAATTTTATATATTTTGCTATACAAAATCATCAAAAGTTAAATATTTCCAGGGAAAAATACCATGATGCTTTATAAATGTGCTCTAATATTGCGAAAAGACTACCAATGAAAATGATAATGACATGGATAGTGAACATGATTATGAATTATGGTGATGTTGTACTCAAATAGTGAATTGAATGAAAAACATTCACTTCATCCTGTTATTCTCTCTACACACATACTCATATACCTACATCATGCTTAAAAGACCAATGTATTGAAAATGTGAAATATATATTCTCTTTTGATGGCCTATTATAATTATTGTTAGGTTAAGACAAATCCGAACAAAAAACCATACAGTGATCAGTTTTCTGTGACCAACCCTACCCTACCGACAAGACAAGAATCGTCAGCCTATATATAACGTTTCTCCCAATATTTTCTTGTTCCACTTTTTGCTCGTTTGAAATATGGACCATTCCATATTATTTTATGTATCGATTAATCTTGTGATAGGGTCTTAATATATTCCCATATTTCAAAATCACCCAGTATACTTGGTGTCTCACTAAGGTTGTTCAGTGGTGCAATCTAGGAAAATTTGTTTTCTATTGCAGTCAGAGATTGTTGACATTCCATGCGTCAGTATACAATTTTCAAAGTCGATGTCAGAATGACAATGAAAATGAAATTTTTTTGTGAGTCCTCCTCGTTTCTATAAATGAAATATTAGCATAATCCCAATATATGTGTGACATTCCGATCATCAACGTTCTACAATAACTTGATTTACGCCGACTTCAATTCTAAGTGCAGTATGGTATCCTACCAAAACTACAGACAACAAGAAAGATACATTGATATTTGTTTATAAATGAAACTATTTTCAAACTATTTTCAAGATATCAATTTAGACAACGAAAATTTGAAAATTTTATAAATGTTTTGAAATATTTCCCAACGATCGCGCCATCTACCGTTGAACATACAAATCTCAGCTATAATGCCATCACTTGCAATTTTATTGCATCTGTCGTCATTGTCGTCAACCTTCGATATATCGGATAACCCTCTATCAAAACTGTCCATAGGTTGGCAAAGTTTCGGAATTCTTTACTCAAGGAAGCATTCCCAAGAACCTAAAACCCCCGAAAGTTCAAAACAAATTCCTACACCTACCTAGAAATGTTTGTATATAGGTACTTGGGACCAACTCCCCAGAAGACTAAACTTATGCGGAAGATCGGGACCACTTTTAGGGCGCCAAGGTGCTGCCGGAATTACAACCAAAAATCACACACTTTCAAGAAAAATGCTCAGCCAAGCCGGATTCGAACCGGCAGCACCTTAGTACCGGTTCGCGGCTATGTAGCAAATTTGAGTGCCTTAGACCTCGGATACCATGCTCCCCCCTCTCCGTATCCTCTATAATACGAATTCTTTTTCGTGTGCTCCAGAAGATGAAGATACATGTGATGGCCTCAAATTCAATTATTCAAGTATTTCTCATTTGAAGGTGAAGTAATATCCGTGGCTAGTTTGTGATTAGCAAACTCACATACAAACACCCCACGAGAAGTTCACCTAATATAAAACATTATAGTTCCTGCAGATTTTGACGATGAAACAATTAATGTATTCTAGAAGTGACTGGAAATCAACTTTTTTATATAATTCTTTTTCTTCAACAGCTGTGGGAAATAGTATATTGTTTAACGAGCACGGAATGATAGTGATTCCCCACGAGAATTAAGTTTGCAGCATGAGCCATAGGCGAATGCTGCAATCATTCGAGTAGGATATCAACATTCCGTGCAAGTTATGCACTATAATTTTTCTACGGCTACAATAGATAACAGAGGCATTTTCGATTTCTTCGGCTTGTAGCCATCTGATTTCCTGTCAAGTGATGCTCATCTATTAGACAGAGCTGTCAATGCTTGCAATTTGAAATTCCATGAGCAATGAGATTTTTTTGAAATGATATCACAATGGAGTCATCGTGATATCAGATACGGAAATGAAATTGATGACATACATAGTACCTCATTGATGTATCGAACACAGTGAAACAAGAGCAATCTTGTGTTATAGCCGTAGAAAAAATATTTTCTTAGATATCACCACTGAACTGCCCTCATTGGACACCTGATGTTTAATCGTCAGTTTTGCAAAACTCACTGTACTGTTTAAGGAGTATGTAACCTTCGTAATCAGCAACCAGAATTTCTTTGTTATTGGTGACAATTGGTTACCAGAACCTGATATTTCCATCTGCTAACTTCAACAGAGCTTGTGACTTCCGTCAGAAACCATGAAATTCGATAAATAGAAACGAATATTACTCACCACTGATAATTGTTCAAAATGTTGTTGAAACTGTGTGGCTTGTTGATTAAGTAGATTATGGAATTCGTTGGGTAGGGGACTTGGAGCTCCAGGGCTGCAAGGAGCTGAATGGCGACCCACAGGACTCGGTGACGACTGCGGACTCGGTCGTGGACTTCTGTAAGCGGCTTGTTGTAACTTAAAACAGTAAATATCTCTGTTGAATCACTCGTAGAAGCTACACGAATGTAAGTACAGATCCATGGCGGCACAAAAGAAAACTTATCGTCATACTTATACAGTTTTTTCTTTCAACATGTATGTACTTGAAGATATTTCTGGATATTCAATTTTCTTTGGTAATATTGCATCGACAACTGATGATTGAGGGTGTTGGGCCCAAGAGATGATTATCGCCTGAATAAGGAAATATGGTAGACTCACTGTACCTACCTTTATTTTCTTAAACGACAGACCTTCTGTGGGCAAAAATCAAAAGAATACTAGACAGGTGGCCTCGTAACTTTTCAGTGTACTGACCTCACTCTACTTGCCCATTCGAATGTTAATATCTGAGAATAATGGGGGCTAACTACTGACATATATACTAACTAAACCGCTATAATCATATACTCAGCACCATTAAATCTCAAGTTCTGGAAAGACTTGAACAGTTTATTACTTCAAACACATTATCTAGAAATAAAGAGATAATTTGCTTCCACTATTAGCCCTATTAGTTTTGACTGATTTGTTTATTTATCCCTTCCTACTAGTAATTCCCATCAATAATGGCTAAAAAGTGGGGGAGTGAGAAGGATTTGAGTTCACTGTGAAAATGAAAGCAATATACTTTTTGGTACAGGGGTGTTGGGTTCTTGAAAAGTAAATATCGTTCTTTCCATCCTAATGCAACATGCAGAATGGGTACAACTATGTGACATAAAATTGATTAAAACATTCAAGGAGCTTTACAGTCTAAAGTGAATATATTTCGAAATATTTGAAAGATGAGCTACATAATACTTTTTGATATTAATATTCCTAATCAATATTTTTTGTTTATTATACTGAACTCAATGAATACAGAATATATTTACCGTTGGTGATGGTGAACTTGGTGAACATTGTTGATGGTACACACCAGACATTCCTTGCAAATGTGTGAAATTATTCGAGTCCACTGAATTCGCTAGATTATTATCTAATTGGATATTCTGAAAAATAAATATAACCAAAATATGTAGGCAGTTATAAAAAACAACATGCTAATTTTATTTTAAAACTAATTCAACAAAATCAGAATGATTCATTTAACAATATCAAATAAGTTTGAGCATGAAACATCAAGGTTTTCTTAAATAACCCCCCAATCGAAAACATTACATAAATATCACAATAACAAACAATGTTTGTTAATATGAGTTGGTATAGAGAATTTTGTATATTAATTTTGAATGGTAATCGAGACTCGCACTTGCAGACAATAATGCAAACTTTTGAGCGAATGGTTATGATGGATAATAATAAGCAGAACCAAAAACCAAATTTAAACAGAGTAAACATATCGCTTTCAAAAATTCCGCTAAGTGGCACACTGCCTCTCACACTCTTTCAAATTAAATTTCATGTCACAAATTATGGCTCTCACTGTCCTATATCTCGAAAAAAGATTAATGATTATAATCTATAAATCTTTGGTGGATCGCTGGATTTGTTAAAAAATACTCTGAAACGATTATTTTAGGTGTGCACAGGACACATATTTTGTTGGAAATAATTCTGTAATTACCTATATGTATATTTGTGAATTCCTCTTTTTAGCTTGTACAGTTCAAGTACATAAAATTAGAACTGAGTAGTCTTAGCCATTAGTTTATTTACTCATGTTCATGTATTATTAATGTAATTTTTTCAGTAATGGGGGTATCCCGTAAATAAATAAATAAATAAATATTTAGCGTCGACAGTGCGAGTCGAAAATAGTTACAGGAATTCATAATCGCTAATACTGGGGTAACACATCTTTTCTCTACAAAAAAGTAACACGCCACTGGACACAAATCGCATAACTTTGCGAGCCTCTATTACATCTTTAAATTAATGTATAAAATTCTCGACAACCCAGTAAAAGAGAAGAGTAAAGTAGAAGTCAGTTTTTCAATCCTTTCGGGAGGAGGTATGTATGAAAATCACCTGAAATTCGAATTTCTAAGGCAATTTTGATACTCGAAAGTTTATCATTTCATGAGTAATGACGATTAACTGAGATTAGGTAGGGTGTCACATATACGCCATCGCCTGACAAAAATTCATATTTTCCTGTTTCGATAATCCAATCAGGACGATCAAATTTACGCCTGCGCGGTGCGGCTAGTGGAGCCTATAAATACAGTAAATATGAATTCTTGCCACTGCTCAACTAGGTAGATATGAAATATGTAGCAGTAACAGGAAAACGAGAGTGAGACCGGCAGGAATAATTCATCTTGGTATTTTATTTATGACCAAAATTTATATTTCTAATTTTATATTAAACTCAGATATTAAAGGTTCCCGGCTTTTAATTGAATGAAAGTGGAACCATTGAATCATTAGAAGAAAGAGTGTCTTGTGACTTTCAGGTAAAATTTTAGCTACTTCAAATAATGGTATCAAAACCAAAGTTTTGTTTACCGACCTCTACTCATGAAAACTATTCTAGAACTACCAATAAACATTCATCAAAGCGTAAATAAGAAATAATATAAACGAAAATATAAACTAACCTTTCCTACCTGTTGTTGCTGATGATATCTAGCGCTAAACGGTACAGTTAACTGATTCTGCAACAATATCACAAAACATGCAAATAAAAATGTAATCATGCAAAAATATAAATAAAAAGCTATATCAAGAAATACAAAAAAAGCAGAAACGATATATTCTATTGCATTTTTGAACTGATATCGTCCGACAAGGTATACAGAATGACACCATATTCAACATGTTTGCAGCATGTAGTGAGAAGATGTTCCCTTCCAATGGGACCTAACATATCCGAACCTAACCGTACCTAACATTTCAAATTTTACTCTCTGATATAAATCTGTAGTCTTTGAAGATTTTTCTTACTTCATCTTGAAATGGAATTTGTTCAAAACATTAAAAATCAGGAATACATATGGTATTATTTCCCAAAGACACATCAAAGTTGATACCTGTTAGGTACCCAATATTCATGATTCTTATTGTATACTGGTTCAGAACTGTTCTTGGTGAAATGATAAAATTGTGAGATTCTCATAATAATAACATATAAATCTTTGGTTGTGTTTTTTGATCACGTACAAGTACAATTCTACAAGAGATCAAAATAAATATATATTATAAACAATTCAGTAATAGATACCCCATATACCAAATACCTACTTTCAACTTTCTATCAACTAATCAACTAATGAAAAAAATTTACTCTACGACTATTTAGTAAGTAGTAAGTAATAAGAATTATACTAAAAGAAGAGGGGTATATACTTCGGATTTACACTTTTTTTTCAAGTATCAAGCGCATTTTCCGAATAACCACGGCAATATCAACGGTCCGGGAAACGTGAAGTCTAAAATGTCAACGTTTCAATTATGGATCTGACAGGTGAACAAAGATATACTGATGTCACATCATGAATTCAATACTATTTTTTTCCTCATAATTTATAATATAATACTAGTATTTATCCATAGATGAAGAAACCCAAAGTCATCTCCACAACATTTATTAGAAAGATCAGAGATCAATCACGCAAGTACATGTTTCGGGCTTATATGAGCTCATCATCAGCCGATTACATGATTTTAGTAATAGAAATGAAAAAGTCGAAAATTTGATAATGTTGACAATAAAATGTGACAAAAAAAACACCTATTCATTACACATAATCATGGTGCATACGTCTGTGTTTTTAAAAATACTAACATGCATACCAAGGGCTGATCTGATTTTGTGGTTATGTATGTTTTTGTTTACTAGTTTTACTTGGGTTAATTTTTGATCTCCAGTTATTCGTTAACCAATGTCTACAGCTTATAGTAGTTTTGTTGGTTAGGTGACAATCGCTTTTTTTCATTATATAAACATCAACATCGACGCCAAGTTGTCTTCTTCTATTTATTATTCGTTCTGTATTCGTTAGCTATTCGCTAGCTATATTCTTCATCTTCATCAGCTAAATTCAGACTAGATTCAGAAAGTACGTCAGAGTTTGCCGAACCGAAAATTGGAAATTGCTTCATTTAAAAAAAAACGACTTGGACTTTATCGAGCGCCATTCTGTACAGCGTGGACATAAAACTGAACTCATTTTATGAAAATGCATCTGAAGGAAACTTCCCCATTTCTCAATTATTTCATTGGTGAGTTTTCTTCAGGTAGTTTGATTTTTCTCTCGATTTGTTTTTATTTCATGAATGAGCAGACATTATTTGACTTGTCATGTAGGGTGTGAAATATGAAAACATGAATTGAAAGACACAAAAAAGTTACATACCGAATGTGCTTGAGAAGCAGGTGTAAACTGAAATCTACCTTGTGACCGCATTCCCAGTGTTATACTTGTGGGAGATAGTGCGGAAGGGCTAGTATTTACAGGACTCTGAAATGTACAAAGAAAAAACTGAACGAAAAGTGATGCGATATCACTAGGACGAAACAAATCAAGCACAACATCAACACATTCAAAATACACACAATAATCACCAAGATATTTCAAGATATCAAGCTTCATTTCTGAGAGGCTTTAACGCATCAAATAATCTCAATTTCAACCTACAAACTACAAAATATGTTCATAGGGGAGGGGAATATTTGACAAAATGGGCTATTTGAATGAAAAATTGGTTCATATCAATTAGTACTAAGTAGTAAATTATCACTGTTAGATTTGCTTATAAGAATAGCCTAAAAATCATTCTGATGGCAAGTTCACACTTGAAAAGGCCTATTGTGAATAAGAAAATACCTTGAAACTAATGGGTCTGATTCAACATGGTTGCCAAGATATATTTGAATTATGTTTAGCTTGCTTTTATGATCTATATGGCGATGTTCGCCGTGAATAGTGGATAACTCAGTATTTGTGCTGTGGAATTACATTCCATCGTTACTTGTTGAAATCAAATATAACGCTACAAGAACAGCTATATTAAAATTTGCAGAGAGAGGTTGAAACCAATGTTGCCCTATTCTAATATTCCACTTATATACTAGATGTGTTGACGTGACCATAATCTGTGCTACTTGGAATCAAAGAAACTCAGTACATTTGGATGGCTTAGAAAGCCTATCTTATCTAAACGTAGGGAGTTAGGCGTATGAACATTTTCAACAACAGAGTTTTCTTTAAAGCACTACTAAAAACGACCAATCAGATGATCTATGATCTATGTATTGAACTATTTCAGGCATTACTTTATTTTGAAAACTAACTGCATTATCTATTTGCTGGTGTCTCAAATACCCGAATACGGAGTTCCATCAGAATATTATGTACAGGGTGCACCAAATTTGAAACTTTCAAAGGGGAAGACGACCTCAACCACATATAGTTATTTATTATCATTTTGAAAATACACGACGTATTTCAAAAATGTACATTCTTGAAAAACTTGTCTTTTTCATGCAGATATTTCTAAAGCAATGAATTTTCCATCGAAATGGATTGTCAGGCACTGAAATCAGTCTTCTTATATATATTTCAAGAATAGAACTTTTTTCTTCTTTTCAAGGAGATATTCGTGTTTCAAACTATACGATGACAACCTGATGATCAAATTTCATCAACTCATTATTTTGGAACTCTCAAATGAGGAAAATAAAAATATATAATCAGTTGAAATTCGTTATTTTCCTTCGTTTCCATCATGATGCATGAAATCGGTACCGAGGGTTGCAAAATGTGGATACAAACTCAAGGCGTCGGAACTGAAATGATTATTTGCAAATGAATGAATTTCAGCCACTATCTGTAAATGTACATTTTCGAAAAACACCTTGTAACTATGTAACTCTGAAATGATCATAGACATCGTTATGTGGTTTTTACCATTGAGTTTGTCATGAAAATTTATCATCAGACACTGATATCAGTTTTTTTATCTATCATATTTTGATAAAACTCTGTACGAGTTTTTGAGACATGCGCAAAAAGAATAAGCAAACAGTTTTTGAATAAAATAATGTCTAATAATTGACTCAATTCTGAAGGTCTTTTTGAGTTCCCCAAAATCGCTTCCATGCTTTGAATGATAGTCCTGATGTTGTTTAAGTATTCCCATCAGACCTGATAACATTGAATTGATATTGAAAATCCCTAACCGAATGTTGAAAAATAAATAGGGAATCTTATTAAAAATAAGGAATGTGACAACAATGGCTGTTATTTTCACCCCGCGATTCATTTTCAATCCGATGAACGATTCCCAATCCTGTAACTTTTTCAAAACTAACCTGTACAATCAACTTCATGGTTAACACTTTCAATAACAAAAACAAAACAAAACAATAGTTTTCATCAAATAATTGAGATCATAGTCACAGAGACAAAATGTGTGTGCTAAAGGAAATAGGATATGAAATGTACTTACAGAACTATAGGGTGAACTATCGTGGTCTTGATCAAGAGGTGCATGTATTGGCGACGAAAAATCAACGTTTGTCAAGTCAGGTAAGGAACCTGTATTAGCCATGGGTATTTGAATCATACTTGGATCATGTGCTGACGGGTATATGCTACAAAAAGAAAAGTTTTCAATATTCATTTATACACACTACACAGTTTTCTCATATACAGGGTGTTACAGAACTATGGGATCAAACTTCTAGGGGTTATTTAGTGCAACAGGGTTCGGAAGCGCGTTGAAATTGGGAAAGACGATGAATTGCCTAAATAGGATGCATTGAGCATTTAATTTTTGCCTTTTCTACATGATATAATCACATCAATTGTTCAGAATGTCAATGTCCATGTCATTATATAAAAATTTTATAGCTGATGATTTTGAACAATTTACCGGCGCTTGTGTGTTGTTATCTTTAAAAACGATAACAGATTGTTTTTTGTAGCTGCATTCCATATCGCCTTAGTCGTGCTATCGTATTTGTGAAGTTTGCAAGAATTTCACAAAAATTGATTGTTGCTAATGGAAAACTTTACCAATGAAGAATTGGCGGATATGCATTTGGTGCTATGAACGAGCAGCAGCTCGGTTGTATCAAGAACGTTATCCCGAACGACAGCATCCGGGATACAAAAAGTTTATTGCTATTCATCGGCGGCTCTCCGAGACAGGCATGTTTAAAACCAACATGCATGATACTGGTGTTGCTCGAACCGTAAGAACGGTCGAATTTGAGGATGTCCGTCAGCGAGTTGCCGACGAACCATCAAGTAGCACACGTCACATTGCTAAGGGTATGAATACGATTAACGCTTCCTATTGAAGCCTCTTTCACAAGAGACGTTATTTTTGATAGTAGGAATGAATAGCCATGTTTGAGACGAAGAAAATACCCATGCAATTTTTCTTAGGAAACATCATCAACGTTGGTCTGTCCAGAACTTCTTCAAAATGTTCCAATAAACGTTCGACAGCAAATGTGGTTTCAGCATGATGGAGCGCCGGTTCACTTTGCTGTACAAGTACGTGAGGATTTGGCTCAGCGGTTTGGGCACTGTTGGATTGCCAGAGGTGGATCAGTTTCTTGGCCACCTAGGTCACCCGATTCAACGCCGCTAGATTTTTTCCTGTGGGGACATGTAAAGTCTTTGGTCTACGAAACTCCCGTAGAAACAGAGCAAGACTTGATTGGACGAATTACAGCAGCATTAGAAATCATTCAAATCTAGGTTCAAGTTTTTAGTCAAGTCCACCGAAATCATGTGCGACGTTTAAATCATTTTGAACAATTGTTGTGATGATATCATGTACAAAAGGTGAAAATTAAATGCATCAAATCCTATTAAGGCAATTCATCGTCTTTCTAAATTTTAACGCGTCTTAGGACCGTAGTGACACTTTTCCGGGCACGAGACCCAATACTCAAATGTTTTCTACTGTTGCACTGAATATCCCCTAGGAGTTTGATCCCATAGTTCTGTAACACCTTGCATAATATTGTTTCACCTATCGTCGTCTATTTTATAATAAAATAAAAAGTAATACAACAAATTCTAGACCACTTTGAGAAAGTCATAATTAGGATAGTTGAATACTGAAAAAAAAGTACAGGTACAAATATTCGGGAGTCGGACAGTTCGACCACGGGCCAGGTACCTGTTTTAAGTACACCGATCAGTTGGACCACGACCACTCCTCGAGCGGATTAAGGGTGTCTTCTAAGAATTAAAACAATTACTATTTTCTCAACATATATTATTTATTATTGAGGTGAATTATAATAAGACATAATCTTTACAAAATCTTTTTGGGATAAGAGGTCATTTCTATATTCTGATATCTTAGCTTCAATAAAATATTTTTTTTTTTGTGTTGCACTTTTTAGTTTTTTGGTGGAACATTTTACGGAATTTATTTCAATATATTATGTTTCTGCTTGAAAGTTTATTAAAATATTTACAAAATCAAACAAACTTGGGTGAGAACTATAAAAATTAGAATTAAAATGAGAATGAAATGATTCACACGCGCTTGTGGTCCTGTACATACTATCTGTAGTACAAGCCCACATACTTGGGGGAAAATTACTTTCTTCATCGATATAAGTTTTCACAATATAATCGCAAAATTTCGATAGACTTGGATTACTGCGCATTATGAATGAATTTCTTCAGAAAAAAAGTTCTACTACTACTACTACTTCATAAGAGAAGAACAAACCTTTGATTCCTTATGAATTAGCTTGGAGGGTCTTTCTGTTAGATCTTCTAACGCCTGCCTTTTCAAAGCATTGCTAACCTAATCTTAAGAGTACTATCTTCCATGTGATTATGCTCTAGATGTATTTCTGAGATAGTTATTTCGTCTTCCTCGGTATACATTTTTGGTTACTGGAAGAATTCTATGAAATCGATTAAAAAATAAAATTTCAATCTGGTCGAACTGCAGGGTGGGCTTAACTCGACCTTTTTCAAAAAAGGATTAATGCAGGTACTCGTGGTCCAACTGATCGGTCCCCAAATATTCATACCATAGATAAATTATAATATGTTTACCTAATTCCAGGTACTCGAGAAGAAGCAGAAGGTATGTCACAGCTAGACCTCGGTCTAGGGTCAAGGTTTCGGTCAGGGCCATTCATCATTGGAATATTCCAGCCTCTAGAGGAGACGTCGTTATTCCTATCCGCCATTCCCTTCAACAAATATCCAAATATGTTCCATCCTTAACATATTATACTAAAATTATTAGTTATTCAATATCTGGTCTCTAACAATTGAGCATTTTTACCAATCGCGTAGGTATTGATACCACTACTAAAATGATTGACAATACCCTAAATATTGAGGAATCTTGGCTTATGTGGTTGACTACAAGGTATAAAATTGCAAATGTTGAAATATCAACCCCTCTTCACAAAAATTATTATATTATTATTTCATCAAAACTGGAGGATTGTTAATCATTAAAAATTAAATCGATAAAAACGTATTTGGCCCTTTGGTTTCCAAACTAACTATAATTTACATTGATAAATAACAACTTAGAGCCCGTGAACCATACATTTTTTTTATGTTTAGTATTGAATGAACAACATTGTTTGTTACAATTTTATCAACTCTGGCAACGAACGTTTGTTTTTCACTATTTATTTATCGTCACTATAGAGCAAAATCATTCAAAACACTCATTTTCAAGAAAATACCTACCCCTAACCAACGGCAATAGAACTGAAAAAACACAGTGACATAAACTACATATTATCAAGACCTGATACCATAAGAAAGAAGCTATGCTACTCATGAGATAGAACTGGAGAACATTAATCATGTGCATTCAGGACCTCTCATTCATCTTACTCTTACTTATGTTTCCTAATACCAACAAACATAACTCGAAGTCATGAACGGCAGTTTGGGAGTTTCTGTGTATTAAGCAAATTCCTTTTCAGGTAAGCAATTTTTATTGTTTCGCGGTCTAAATAGTAGTTATGTCAGTGGAAAAACGCGAAAACCTGACAGAAATCATGTTCTACTCTTAAACACGAATATCCGAACTACATATTCTGATCGACTGTTTCCATTGGTTACAATCAAAGCTGGTCCCACGAGATTTCACACGTGCTCCTACGAGATTCTCGCGAATTCAATTGGTCAGAGACGGATTTTCGTTGGATGTTGCCAAGTCACATATTTTTAATATTCTGAATACTTTCGTGTGAAAGCAATGTTGCCGAATTTCTCGAGTTCTGTAGGTCCATAAAAAATATCGAACTATTCAATTTCTTGAGGTGGTTCATGTGAGGACCTCCCACTGCCAGCAATATAGAGTTTTACATATTTTTTTATTGATAATAATAATAATGATATACATATTATTGATAATGATAATAGTGTACATCATGAATCTTTTGAAAAATGCAATGGTCCCCTATCGGCTTGTATCAGCCGGTCTCGGGATCATATATAATAAAGAAAAAGTACCGTTAGTCCGTAAGAAGAGTTCAAAGTTTATACAGTGTGTCCCACTTACCATGCTCACCATGGGTATCTTTTTAACGGTGAGAGATACGAGGTCGGTTAAATGACACCAATAAATGTGGAGTTTGTCAAGGCCAACTATAATGTGAAAAAATATTTCGATAAAATCTATTCGTTTTTGTTTTATACGCAAAAAACAGATTTTGATCATTTTCATGTCTCCTCCGCAACTTCTTTATTTATGAAACTATTTGAATAGGAATTTCACATTCTCATGGCAGTTTTTCAAGGTGATTTCGAAAAAAATATAAAATTTATACCAACTCTTCTAGAATTTGAGATATCAGCACCAACTTTAGTTTTTCAAATGTAGGTCATAGCTCACTATGACTTAGTTACAAATAACTTTTTTTTCTCTTACAGATGATATATCGCAGTAATAGTTTTGTGTTGATAACAACGGAGTTATCATCATCTATACGAAAACAAAAAAATATTTGGAAGCCGCCATCTTGAATTTATGAATTTTAACAAAAGAATCATGATCTCCGACCTCAAAAACCCCCACTTACAAATTTTGAATGGAATCGGACCAAATCTTGTCCGCCATCTTGGAGCAGCCATTTTTTTTTATTTCAACAAAAATTCCATAATGTATTGTCACCGGAATTATGAACACCTGCCAAATTTCAAGTTAATCGGAGTTATGAAATTTTTCTTGAAATTAAAAAAAAATGGCTGCTCCAAGATGACGGACAAGATTTGGTCCGATTCCATTGAAAATTTGTAAGTGGGGGTTTTTGAGGTCGGAGATCATGATTCTTTTGTTAAAATTCATAAATTCAAGATGGTGGCTTCCAAATAATTTTTTGTTTTTGTATAAATGACGATAACTCCGTTGTTATCAACACAAAACTATTACTGTGACATATCATCTGTAAGAGAAAAAAAAGTTATTTGTAACTAGGTCATAGTGAGCTATGACCTACATTTGAGAAACTAAAGTTGGTGCTGATATCTCAAATTCTAGAAGAGTTGGTATAAATTTCATATTTTTTTCTAAATCACCTTGAAAAACTGCCATGAGAATGTGAAATTCCTATTCGAATATTTTCATAAATAAAGAAGTTATGGAGGAGACATGAAAATGATCAAAATCTGTTTTTTGCGTATAAAACAAAAACGAATAGATTTTATCAAAATATTTTTTCTCATTATAGTTGGCCTTGACAAACTCCACATTTGGTGTCATTTAACCGACTTCGTATCTCTCACCGTTAAAAAGATACCCATGGTGAGCATGGTAAGTGGGACACACTGTATGATACAAAAAAAAACTGTTTTTGTGTGTTGTTCAAAAATGAGTGAAACAAATTTGATGTAATTTGACAAAAGTGCATTTCAGAGGACAACCCTTCTTTCAGTAGTCAAAGAAACCTGATAGAAATTGTGGAATGGTTCAAGCCACCCTCACCCCCTGACATTTTTTTCACAACATTCTTAGGGGTGGGTTCCCAAATTTTTTAAGCGAGATGACTAATTATTTTTTCCGCATATTTCCGAAGGAAAAAAATGTTTTCTAACACATATTCAGGGTGTCCCAGAACGACCTGCAATAAATTCTACAGATTGAACTAGAGTTCAAATTAGCTTGAATGAAGTCAAGTAACCTCTATATGAAAATGTACCGTTGAGCCCTTGAGGAGGCGATGAAGAATAATTTTGTTTTTTTTTTAATATTTCAGTATCGCTGAAATTCATTGGAATAGTACATTGTGTAGCTAGAAGTAAAAGCAATACATTTACGGATGTCCCCGATAGGGACCGATTTTGACGCATAGCCGTTTTTCTATGGAGTGCTTTTGTATAGAATAGAATATAATGCATTGGTAGCATTGGTATCTGTGGGGTATCTGGGGGTTTTCGGAGTCGGAGATTATGATTCTTTCGTCAAAATTTGGAACTTCAAGATGGCAGATCCAATATGGCGGACGTTTTGTTATTATGATCCGATTATATTTAAAATTGGTATTTGGGGAGTATTCGGGGTAGGAGAATATGATTTTTTCGCCAAAATTATGAAATTCAAGATGGCGGATCCAAATTGGTGACTGGGGGTGTTCGAGGTCGGAGATTATGATTCCTTCGTCAAAATTAGGAAATTCAAAATGGCAGATCTAATATGGCAGACGAGTTTTTTAATTATGATCAGATTCTATTCAAAATTGGTATCTGGGAGATTTTGGACCCGGAGATAATGTTTCTTTCATCAAAATATGGAAATCCAAAATGGCAGATTATGATTCTTTTATGAAAATCAGGAAATAAAAGATAGAGGATCCAATATGGCGGATGACTTTTGTAATTATGATCCGATTCTATTCAAAATTTGTATCTGGGGGTTTTTGGGGTCGGAGACAAAGATGTTATTCTCTAAAATTGGGAAATTCAAGATGGCGGATCCAATATGGCGAAAGAGCTTTGTAATAAATAGTAGTTTGAAAAACTATAGTGGGACACGCTTTTATGGATAGCCTAACTCGAGGCCAAACTGAATAGAAGTAGAAAATTGACAGTGTAATTTAAAAAACGAGATAGATTGTCGAACTAAAGCGAAGTAAAAAATAAAAATAGTAGTTTGAAATATTAATGAAACACGATTTTATGGATAGCCAAACTAAAAAGAAGTGGAAAACGAAGTTATAAAAGTATGTTGATAAATATTTAACTGAAAAAATATTTTCTAGAAATAAATGTATACATTTAGCAAAACAACGTTTGCCGGTTATCAGCTATTGTAATAAATAGTAGTTTGAAAAACTGATAAAACACGTTTTTATAGATAGCCAAACTAAATATAAGTGAGTAGAAAATAAAGAGTAGTTTTTCTACAAATAATCTTTATGCACTAGCGAGCCTTAAAGTGCACTTTACCGCCCGGTTTTGCGGGCGTTAAGTTGCACTTTACCGCCCGCTGTTCCCAGTTTCCTTATATCCACATATCAATTCATGAAAAAACAATTAGGTAGGTAAATATACTGGGTGTGCATATTGTAAAATTTCAAAGCGTTTTACTATTAGGATAATTGCAATATTCGTATGATAATTTGTATATGTAAATCATCCATGAACGTTACGCTCCTCTTGATTACTGAATTTATACATAACAAATTAAATTCGGGGAAATATTAGTTTATCGAAATCTATAGTCATTACTTATGAGTCAGAAAATAAACCACTAGTGCATAAAAATTTGTATGTATCACGTGCGTGAAATGCGTTTATGGCCTTCAGCGTGTAATGGCCCTCGGCTAGCGCCATCGGGCCATTATTCACACCTCAGGCCATAAATTCCTACTTAAGACCTTGATGCATAGATAACTATTATGGAAAAATGTTTGCCGGGTCAGCTAGTTTTTATATACATACCGGGTGGGTCACGGTCGATGGCACCTTAGACGTTTACGGAGAACGGGACATAAGATCATTCTGAAAATTTGCTTACTCAAGTAAATGCTCTTGATCTATCGATCTAAAATATTTTCAGCTCTGCGGCGTTGCCGCTTCTATCGAAAAGTAGCAACAACTTTGTTATTTTAAATGGAACACCCTGTATTTTATCGCATTTTCAGATTCTCTCTGAAGAGCTGATTTCATCGATGTATCACACTTGGGGTCTAGCGGAAATGATTACAGAGATATAGGGTGTGAAAAATCGACATTTTTCAACTTTAGGAATTTTTTTTGTCGAAACTATTCATTATTGGTCAAAACGGCTCACATGTCCCTATCCCAACTTTTGATCAACTATCTACTGACATTTAATTGAAACAAATACAGGGTGGTGCAGAATTCAGATTCTTGATCACCCGGTATATGTCCCAATTAAATATCAGTAGATAGTTAATCAAAAGTTGAGATAGGGAAATGTAAGCCGTTTTGACCAATAATGAATAGTTTCGACAAAAAAAATTCCTTAAGTTGAAAAATGTCGATTTTTCACACCCTATATCTCTGTAATCATTTCCGCTAGACCCCAAGTGTGATATATCGATGAAATCAGCTCTTCAGAGAGAATCTGAAGATGCAATAAAATACAGGGTGTTCCATTTAAAATAACAAAGTTGTTGCTACTTTTCGATAGAAGCGGCAACGTCGCAGAGCTGAAAATATTTTAGATCGATAGATCAAGAGCAATTACTTGAGTAACCAAATGTTCAGAATGATCTTATGTCCCGTTCTCCGTAAACGTCTAAGGTGCCATCTACCGTGACCCACCCAGTATATATATTGTTCTGGAACACCCTGTTACCTGCATGGTACTCTGGTGTAGGGCTGAATCACTATTGACGCGCCTCCAGCCAGTATCAGTCGGTGGGCTCAAATAGTAAGGGGACGTGTCCAATCGTCGGTCGTGTGTTTTCCTCGAAGGGCCGCATTGGGAACGTGCTCTGCTTCGTATCTCCGGCCTGTAAGCTGGCAGCTTGTTCGAACTGGATGGTTCATCCTAAATACCAAAAGTTACTACCAATTACACAATACCTGGTCGCGTATAGCCATTACCCTGTACAGCACAGAGCGCACCGTCTGATATGGTCTGAATCTGAAACGCACTGAACTTTGTTCATGATTAATTTCAGGACAACATAACAAACCCCAGTGCATTTCAGAACAGTCCATATACAGGGTGTATCTAAATAACACCGAAAAAACAAATTCAAGGGGTGAGTCCTTGTGATATTTTAGGAAATAAAGTTCATATAAACATGAGTCGGAAATATGAATACCCTGTATCTGGAAAACGGAGCAAGTTAGGACACATGTTTATATGAACTTTATTCGCTAGAATATCACAAGGAAACATGCTACCGGGTCATACAGACTCTGTTTTTCTTTAAACATCGAATATGCTCACTAGAGGGCACTTTCTCACATTTCAGGATGTTCTTCTCATCTGCCGCTTTTTCAGGAAAAGATATCGGCTTTATATTTTTAAACAGAGCACCCTATTGTTAGGTGAACTGAGAACAACTATGGAACAACCCTGTTGTCATCTACACTTGTAATATTTGTGTTGTGCCTTAGCTGTCATGTATGTCATATGTCATGTCAAATGTAATGTCACTAGGAGACAGATGACACATACTCACCCACCTGTCGGCAGTCATGTATCTCTGGCGACTCGAACCTGTATGTATAAATGTCGAAGCTGTAATATATATTTTATTCCATAATTGGTGAGACTAATATAACGAATTCAACAATACCAGGTTTGATCGGGTTATTTCAAACGGTTACGAAGATATGTGAGTTCGAAGTTTCCAGATGATCAATGTGTATGACGGTGCAATATCGAAACATCTATCTCTGCCACACTCATTGGTCATATGAAAACTTCGAATGTAAATAACTTCGTAATCGTTTGAAATAACCCAAACAAACACGGTATCGTTGCATTCGTTATATTAATACCTAACCACTTATGGAATGAACTATAGGGTGTTCCATTTGAAAATCGAAAGATATAATTTCCAGGAAAACCGGAAGATGAAAAAAATCCTAGAATGTGAGAAAGTCCCCTTCAGTGAGCACATTCGATGATCAAAATTATTGCTACAAAAACAAAGGAAAAAGGGGGGTATACCATGAGTCTGTGTCACACGGTATATAAGAGAATTTCATAATTTTCTAGGAGTAACGTTCCAAAATCACATGATGCATAGATACTGATAACATACTCAACTAACAAAATTCAGGGTATTCCTGAATAACGTTCGTATATTCCGGGAGGTGATTCTGCAGATTGAAATAAGAAAAACACAAAGTCGTCGTCTATAAACCTGTGTACAAAAATTCTTCCTAAGGACACTACAGCTGTTTGAAGGTGGGTCCCTAATTGCACTTTTCTTCAATTGTGTTTGTAATGAGAGTTCCTTAATGTACTTGACGTATTCCCTATCCTCATTCGTCACAATTCTGTCATAATTGTCACATTTCAAATTAAGTCACGTGATATTCAATTTGAAATTATTTGGAAACTTGATCTTTCCGGCAAAAAATTGATGCCTGTAATTTTGGTACGGCACCAGGCTAAACTTAACAAGATTCACCCACGCCATGTTATGTTTATCAAAGTAGGCGAAAATCAAGGAATCGTCAAACAGGAACGGATTGAAGTACGTACACCAGAGGTTTATTTCATCAATGTCAAAGGACTGTAGCGCCTTTAGGAAACTTTTTTGAGACACATGTTGATAGGGGTAGGTTGCGTTCGGCCCAATTTTCGATTCACCCAATTTTCGATTGGCCCAATTTTCGATTCGCCCAATTTTCGATCCGACCAATTTTCGATTCACTCCATTTTCGATTAGCCCACCATCTCCTAATATACCCGAACGATGGGTTGTTGCCAAATCTGAATGAACAATCATTCTGGGCGTATCATTATCAAATATTTCAATTTTTTATACACATAATATGTATGTATGGTACACATTTCGATTTGCCCAATTTTCGATTCACCCAAATTTCAATTGGCCCAATTTTCGATTCGACCAATTTTCGATTCGACCAATTTTCGATTCGACCAATTTTCGATTCGACCAATTTTCGATTCACCCAAATTTCGATTCGCCCAATTTTTGATTCGACCAGTTTTTGATTCGACCAATTTTCGATTCACTCAATTTTCGATTCGCCCACCATTTCCTAGTATACCCGAACGATGAGTTGTTGCCAAATATGAATAAACAATCATTCTGGGCTTATCAATATTAAATATTTCAATTTTTTGATGCACATAATATGTATGTATGGAACATATTTCGATTTTCCCAATTTTCGATTGGCCCAATTTTTGATTCACCCAATTTTCGATTCGACCAATTTTCGATTCACCCAAATTTCGATTCGCCCAATTTTCGATTCGACCAATTTTCGATTCACTCCATTTTCGATTACCCCACCATCTCCTAATATACCCGAACGATGGGTTGTTGCCAAATCTGAATGAACAATCATTCTGGGCGTATCATTATTAAATATTTCAATTTTTTATACACATAATATGTATGTATGGTACACATTTCGATTTGCCCAATTTTCGATTCACCCAAATTTCAATTCGCCAATTTTCGATTCGACCAATTTTCGATTCGACCAATTTTCGATTCACCCAAATTTCGATTCGTTCAATTTTTGATTCGACCAGTTTTCGATTCGACCAATTTTCGATTCACTCAATTTTCGATTCGCCCACCATTTCCTAGTACACCCGAACGATGAGTTGTTGCCAAATATGAATAAACAATCATTCTGGGCTTATCATTATTAAATATTTCAATTTTTTGATGCACATAATATGTATGTATGGAACACATTTCGATTTTCCCAATTTTCGATTCACCCAATTTTCGATTGGCCCAATTTTTGATTCACCCAATTTTCGATTCGACCAATTTTCGATTCACCCAAATTTCGATTCGCCCAATTTTCGATTCGACCAATTTTCGATTCACCCAATTTTCGATTCGACCAATTTTCGATTCACCCAAATTTCGATTCGCCCAATTTTCGATTTGCCCAATATTCGATTCACCCAAATTTCAATTCGCCCAATTTCCGATTCGACCAATTTTCGATTCGACCTATTTTCGATTCACCCAAATTTCGATTCGCCCAATTTTTGATTCGACCAGTTTTCGATTCGACCAATTTTCGATTCACTCAATTTTCGATTCGCCCACCATTTCCTAGTACACCCGAACGATGAGTTGTTGCCAAATATGAATAAACAATCATTCTGGGCTTATCATTATTAAATATTTCAATTTTTTTATGCACATAATATGTATGTATGGAACACATTTCGATTTGCCCAATTTTCGATTCACCCAATTTTCGATTCGCCCAATTTTCGATTCACCCAATTTTTGAATCACCCAATTTTCGATTCACCCAACTTTAAATAAGGAAAATATTCTTTTCTACATAAGGAAGGAGACTACCTTTTCCAAACTTCCTAACCGAACCTACCTAACCTAACCTAACCTACCTAACCTAACCTGACCTACCTAACCTAACCTAACTCGGCCTAAATGTACGTTCTTTCTGGAAAGTATATTTTTTGCATACTCAATTATTTGAGAGAACCTTAGAGACAATCTAACTTTACTCAGCCCAAGTGAATAATCTAGCCTTACTCTCTGTCGAATTACCTCCCGGAGTATACGAATGATATTCTGCAACACCCTAAATAAACCTACCTACATAAGCATTCATTCAAAAAAATAAAATAAAACAACTTTTGTGGTTGTAAAAATCCATTGAAAATAAGAATCTTGCACTATTCATAATATTAAATGAAAAATAATATAACTATCAAGGTAAAAGTGTAAGATGAGATGGCCTAACAAATTTCCAATATATTTCTTATTCTGATGGGAAATTCCTTTTCAGTACTATGCCCAATGGGTGACCTAGATCCTGTAGTATATTCGTTAACTCTATTAGAGATTTAAAATTCATAACATAAAGTGTTGTGAATGTTCAAAAGTTTAGCGAGTATCGAATCGAACACATAGAAATCATATTATATATACTGACACTATATATAATATGATTTCTATGATCGAACATGACAAATCTAGTCATGTTGTCGCCATCTAGTGGCAATTACCGAACGCCAAAAAAGGTCGAATAGGGAAAAAAACAAGATGTTCCTGAATATTACGAAATTCGCGACGTGTAGCTAAAAATTAAGCTATTCAAAATTGAACCAACATAAAATTTCTAATGAAAATGTCTATTCGTTTTTCGTCTAGAATCTAGAATAGTGTCCGAGATACAGGGGTTAAAAAATAAAGGAGTATCAAAAATAGAGTATTGGTATGAAATTCATGTTTGATGTTCCACTATTTTCTGGCGTTACATGAAATGTATACCTATAAGCTTTTCATCAAATGATGGTAGTAAGTGAGTTTTACTTAAAGAGGTTATCTATGGATGACAAGTGTTCAATTTGTGAGTGTGATGTTGTCAGAAATTAATTTAACGTCGATAAAAAATGGTTACGTGGATTGGTGAATGCTAGTGATTTGTTTCATCTGCTGGAGCGCATGAAACGGCATCCCTATAATGTTCGAGTAACATCGTTCTTACCTAGGGAGGATAGGGAGGTGGATATTGGAAATTTCCTCGGAAATTTCTTTGAACTTCTGAAGATATAAGTTCTTGGGAATACTTTCTTTGGCCAGGAATTCCTAAGCAATGCCGTTCTATAGACAAACGAGTTTTTGTAAAGAATTGTTCGATATAATATCAAGGTCGACGACAAAAGAATGTGCTGACTGGGCTGAACCGATTTTGATCAAATTCCAAGAGTATGTAGGTAACCACTAGAAGCACTCAAATGTGTAACAAAATATATGGCATGCTATTAAAAAAAATATTTCATTATGACGTCACACTTTTTTGGTACACCCTGTATAATCGAAATTATTTTCCTGG